CTTTTAGTCCAGCATCCTGCTGTTGCCAACCAGATGCCTGGATTAATTATAACTGGATTTTTATTTAAAATGTAACCAAGAGCACAAGAAAGAGACGTTTAGGGTTTTGGTTTTTGCTGGTGTTCAAAGGAAATTCAGTAATCAAACAGAAAATATGCCTGCAAGTGAATTAAGAAGAAACCAGTGTATTTAAAAAGAGCTGGTATCTGGCCAACCTGTTTCTATAAATGCAGGCACCCAAGTCTCCTGCATGCAATTAAAACCTTTATGGATTTAAAACAACAACAACTACTTTGGGAACATCTAGATGACATTTTGCCAAGGCTACACTATTAAATGACTTGGAGAAAATGTATCGTTTTTCATTAAAATTGAACAGTTACATTTCCACAGCTGAGCAATGACTTCTGAACAGAGCTGTGAGTTCTAGATTCTTATTAGGAATATCATTAGAAATTAGCCTTGGGGTAGAGGGGAAGGAAAGAAAGGGACGTCTTTAATAACTAGCACAATATTTAAATCCTGTAAAGTGAAGGGACAGAATATAGGAATTATTTAAACTGTCTGATGGTTTTGGTCTCACAGAGCTTCTATTAAATGAAACCGAAATGGGATGTATGTTTTCTAATGGTTATGTCAGTATTATTTCACACAGAATCCGTGAAAAGGAACTCAATTAGGGTGAGCAGAAACAAAATAGAATAGTGCTCTTGTGTTTTTGGTAGTTTTGTAGAAGGGAAAATTCCAGTAGATGACTTTTCCAGCCCTATTAATTAGGGTGGCTACTTAGCAATGGAGTCTCCAATGTTTTTCGGTCAGTGGGCGCATTTGGAATTTGGAGAGAGTACCATGGGTGCCCGTCACAAAATGGCTGCCACTTTGAGAAGAGTAGAAAAAGAGACAAGTGCCAGCATCAGCCACCGAAGCACTTGCTCTCAAGAGCAAGTCCAGAATGGAAGGGAGGGGGGGACTCCAACCTTAGCAACCAACAAAATGTGGGAATGTAAGGAAGAATAGGGAAAGCCCAAATTTAGCAAGGAGTAGTATTTTTTCAACAAAGACTTACTGAAACATTTGTGGGCACCACAAGATGTAGTGCTGGGCACCCTGGTTTCCATAGACACTATGTCCCTTGGCTTCGTATCATTAAAAAAGGGGCTATGTGCCACTGAAAATGTAATTGTCTAAAAGAAAAAAATGTACCCCAATTTGCATAAATTTGCATATATTGATTTATCTGAATTGCATAGACTGATCTCTTCGTAGATACAAATTTAGAAATAATTAAATTTCACAGGAGGAAAACTAATTAATTCCCCACTCAAAATACAGTAAGCCCACAATTTACATGCATTTAATTTGTGCGGATTTAGTTTTATGCGTCTGGCAGAAATAAAAAAAGAGGGCAAGGTTCTGGGAGAAATAACTTTGAGAATCCTACTCATCATTTAACCCAATGTGTCTGACTATATGTGATTTTGGCTTTAGGCACAATCCCTGGAACATAACCCCCGCATAAGCTGCAGGCTTACTGTACTGCTAATAAATAAACTATTCAATGAATTGGTAATTCATCCACAAATCAGTGGGTCCACTTCTGATTTCTCACCCAGATCTTGCATCAAAATCAATACCACTTTAATGAATTACACCCCATTCACCGGTCATCACCCCTCCTAATGAATTAAATAAATAATATGCATATTTCCTTCCAAGAAATATATTCAAGGCATAGAATCATAGAATTGTAGTTGGAAAGGACTCCAAGAGGCATCTAGTCCTTCTGCAATGCAGGAATCTCAACTAAAGCATCCACGGCCTATGGCCATCCAACCTTGACTTTAAAACTGTTAGGGAAGAGTTAGAAGTTTCCAGTTTCTCAGAGGGAGAAAGCATTCGCCAAGGGTGGAAGGAGAGCAGTGAATCTAACAGAAGGGAGCAAGAGGAACAACAGGGAGGGACCGGCTGTTCACAGGAAAGGCAAGGGTTAAGTTCTAGCTCAGATTGGGAGGAGGGGAGATACAGGCCAGCTCTAGCCAGGAGGTTAGAAAAAAGAGCGGGAAAACGAAGGGAAAGGCGCCTTCGCCATTTTGAGGGTGGCTGGTCACGGGGAAGCAGAGCTCAGAAGGTGTCTGAAATAAGTGACTCTGAGGAATAATAGTTAAGAACTGTTTATAAGATTATTTTGTTAATACACAATAAAAAGTTATAAAAGAACAAGAAGCGTTTGTGTGGTGATCTGAAGAGGACAACGATCAGTCCTGACAAAAACTTCCAATGATGGAGAATCCGCCACCTTCCAAGGGAGTCTACTTCAAACAGCTCTTACCATCAAAAGGTTCTTCCTGATGTTTAGTCGGAATGTCATTTCTTGTAACTTGAAGCCACTGGTTCTGGTCCTACTCTCTGAAGCAGGAGAAAACAAGCTTGATCCTTCTTCCATGTGACAGCTTTTTAGATATTTGAAGATGTCTGTCATATCTCCTCTCTGTCTATCATATCTTTTCTAAACATACCCAATTCCCTCAACCATTCCTCATAAGGCTTGGTTTCCAGACTCTTATCATCTTGGTTGATCTCATCGGCACACATCCCCACTTGTCAATATCCTTCTTAAATTGTAGTGCCCAGAACTGGACACAGTATTCCAGGTGTGGTCTGACCAAGGCAGAATAGAGTGGTACTATTACTGCCCTTAATCCGCACACTATACTTCTGTTTATGCAGCCTAAATAGTATTAGCTTTTTTTTTTTTTTTGCTGCTTGCATCATGCTGTTGACTTACGTTAACCTTTTCACTTGTACTACTGGCAAGCTAGGTGCCCCCCCCCCCAAATCTTATATTTGTGCGGTTGGTTCTTCCTGCCAAAGTGCATTCCTGCCTTGCATTTGTCCCTATCAAAATTCATTTTGTTATAGTTTTGGCCCAGATCTCCAATCTGTTAAGGTCATCTAGAATCCCAATTCCATCTTCTGTGGCAGCTACCAATGCTTATAATTCTTCATGCATCATAAAACTCAACAATATGTCATAAACTCAAAACCCTAAAAATCTATAGAAAAGGCAAAATGACTGACCTAAACTAGGCAACTGTAGAAAATTAATTCTAATTCAATCTGGGTCAGGGTTCTTACTAGGAGATGAGGTGGCTTTACTTCATTAATTGGTAGGACAGCAAGTTAGAGTTGTCACTGCCACAAGTCATATATTGATTCCTGAAATGTCCTTGGAAAGTGGTTTATAATGATGTCCTGTTCTGTTCCCTTCAGGGAAGTTGTAGGGGGCCAGGGCAGTATGGATGCCCCATGAACCCACTGAGAGAGATGTTTCCTTTTCTTTCCCAGGGGCATTTGATGATTCAATTCACGGTGCACAGCAGTGATGACCTGTGAGCTTGCTGATTTGTTATGAAAAAGGAAGTCTACCACCCACCACACAATTTACACTTCTGGACAAACAATGCAAGAGTACAACAGCTCAGACAGTGCTGGGAAAACTGGGCTGCCTGGTATGAAAAAGGACACCTGGCCTACTTCCCATAATAAGCTTCATCTGGCCAAAACCCTCTTCTACACAATGCAGCTCAGTCTAAACTTCTTCCAGACACCTAACAAGTTTGACTTACTGACTTTCAAGGAAAGAGATTCCACAGGCTCCTCCCCCAAATTCTCCCATAGTTGACCTGGTGCTAGAGCTGAGTTCTAGTAATGTTTAATTTGGGCACCTCCCCTGGATTGTACTGGGGAAGGAAATACTACCATACCTTGTATTCTGACACTCTCCTAAAAGTGAAAAGTAGCTCATTCTATCTTCAGGCAGCATTTCATCTATAATGCAGCTGCTGGAGTCACTGCAGAGTTGGCTGGATCTGCAAGGGAGTTTCCCTCCCCAAGGGGAATATATAAGGGGTGGGAGAGGCAAATAACATGTATTTCCAAGAGGAATTGATTTAGTAGGACATTGCTTGAGGGACTTTTGCTTCTTCCTAACACCATCTCCCTGTCAGGTGGATTACCAGCAACTGGACTAGGTTACAGCTCTGCAATTATCTTTCCTGGTCTCTTCTGTGGAGCAGAAAAACTCTTCCAATGTTTAATTTCAACAAATATGTTGCCTTTATTGCTCCTGGCTATGATGTTTCATCCTCTTTGTGCCAGGCACAACCTAGACCTACTTGTAGCGTAACAAGGCTCTGTTCAGTCATGGCTCAGTAGTCAACTTCATCTGGTCTTTCATTTGCTTCCAATGTCACAATTTTCAGACATTTTCTTTCACCAGTTCTAAAATGTTTGGACTAGTGACACTATCAGCATGCAGAGCACAATCTCTCATTGTGTACATTCAGTATAAGCTACTGAACTTTATTTTGATTGGTTTTGCATATGTTCATAGAATATTTTATTATACAACTGTACACCACCTTGAAATGCATGCATACAGACATAAATATCGTAATAAAAAATAAACTAAAACCAGTATGAGCTAAAGGTACCATGTTTGCAGGGATGTGTGTTGTCTTATTGCTACCTGTCAAATGTTATTCTGAATTATCCAGTTGTCTGTTTAATCCCAACCTGAACTGGAATGTGTGTGTGTGTGTGTGTGTGTGTGTGTGTGTACCAAAAGTCCAAAAGCAGTTTCCAGCAATAAAAATATAGATAGAAACCAGATACAATTTAAAAATAAAAAAGCAAGCAGTACGAACAAAGGCAACCTAACACCCAAGAGTAGGCTGAGCAAGTCATCAAAAAGCCAGGGAGTTGACTAGGAGTTGACTAGGTGACAGAAGACCAACAACAGCATTGCTGTCCATGAATCTAGGGGGGGAGATTTCCAAAGTCAGTGTGCACAGCACAATTTCCCGCAGCCCAACATAGTGTGTCATACAAGGTGAGACACTTTAAGAGCGCACACAATTACCGTAACCTATTTATTTATTTAATAAAAAAATATACTGCTTGATTGTAGAAAAAACCTCAATGGTACGCACCCAACTCACCAATGGTGCAATGGTCCCCTTCCCATCCAGGGCTGCATTCACACTTTCCATCTTTGCACTGCCCATGTTCAGTGCAGTGAGAAGTACATGTGCGCTCCTCGCATGTCGGGCCTACCCAGCCTTCTTCACACTGGCAGGTTCCTCTTGCACAAATACCATGGCTGCCACAATCCAGTACGCAGAGTTCTTTGAAAACAGAAAGTAGCAGACCCAGTTAATTTAAGAAAGTAATAACAATGAAAGATTAATATTCACATCTGCATTTTCCTGAACGCGAGGCCAAGTTTGTTCAATGGGGTGGGTGTCTTGGTTCCCGAACCACGGATGCTCTTACAGGGGAGCAATAAAGTTTTATTTAAGGCCTGCAATGGTCAGGCTACAGGTTCAGAACACCAAAGGGTCAACTAGAGAACAACAACCAGGGGGTCTGAGACCAAACAAAAGCTACAAAGATGTCTTGACCTACAAAGATGTCTTCCACCTGCTGTCAAAAGAGAGGCATGTCATGCTCACTTGTGAGACCCTCCATTTGAGACAGGTGTGCTTGGAAGCAGACATTACTGCAAAAAGGAATGCAGTATGGGTCAGTTCCCAGTAGTGGAGGTGGTGCTCGTTCCTTGGTGACAGGATGGAGGTTGGCCCTTCTGGCTCTACCTTTTGCTATCCCGTCTCCCCTCCTGGCAGGTTGAAACCCCCCACTGCTAATGAATCCCCCTGCAACATGGATGGGGCACAATCGGGAGCCAGTGAGATATATCCCCTTCCTCCAGCCTTACCCTCCCTCTCAGGCCTCACCCTGCAAGGAGTGTCCTCCTCCTCCTGTTCCTCACCTGACAGCAATTGCCAGTGCAGCCCCAAGCCAGTTAGGAGATCAGGGCTCATTAAATTGGGAAAGAGATTCTCAAACATACACACATACACGATTGCACAATATACCATATATAATTCCACAATCCTTTGGACCACACTTCTGATAAAGCACCCAGCTCATTGGACCTAGGAAGCACATAGGGAAGGTTCGGGAGGGATTACTTTGAAGCAATAATAAATCCAAAGGATAAAAGCTTTATTGCCTGACAGTTTTGAATCCACTAGGAGGTTATTTTCAGAAGGGTTGCGAAGGTGAGCTTGTAAAGATCCCTGGGTCCCAGTGCAACTCTGGATTTCTCTTCGGAATCCCTAAATAGGTCTGAGCCTAGAAAATAATAACTCAAAACTAAAGCTACCAGCCAAATCCTCTTTATTCCGTCACTCAGAAAAGAAATGCATGACAATATGGGCTTCCACATTCTTGAATCTGTAGGATGAGTACAAGGCAATTTGGTTATCAGGAAACTGGCTGTTCAGATTGTCATACCAGGGAGTGCAAACATCATTATCTTCCATGATGTGAATTATTGTTCTTATGGTCCTAGCATTTAGCTGTGTTCCAGAGATGAAAATAAGTCTCTTTTTTCCTTGTACCTACCTAGGTTTTGGTTTTTTAGTTATTATTATTAGTAGTAGTAGTATTGGGAGGTGTTTTGTTTTTTTTACTTATTCACAAACGATCTCATTAGGAATGAGTAGTGAGGTAGCCAAGAGTGTTGGCAATGCTAAATTGTTCATAGACATTAAAATAAAATAGGTTGTGAAGAGCTCCAGAAAGGATGTTTCCAAACTGAGTGAATGGGTGGTAAAATGGGAAATGCAGTTCAATGTAAACAAATGTAAACTGACGCATGTTGAGACAAAAACTATATTTTAATCTCACATATACACTTAGGGGGTCTGAACTAGAGGTGATGGGCCAGGAATGAGACCTTGGGGCCATAGTAGATAGTTCAATGAAGATGTGTGGTAGTTGTGAAAAAGGCAAATTCTATTTCAGTGATCATTAGGGGGGTGAGGAACTGAAAATAAAACTGCTACCATAATTCTGTTATACAAATCTAAGGTGTGACTGCATTTGGAATACTGTGTGTAGTTTTGGACACTTCAACTCAAAAAGTATATTGTAGAGTTGGAAAAGGTTAATAAAAGGGCAACCAAGATGATCAAGGGGGTGGAGTGACTGCCCCATGAAGAATGGTTGCAATGCATGGGACTTTCTAGATTAGAAAAAAAAGGCGAGTAAAAGGTTAAATGACAGAATCTTTTAAAATTATGCATGGTTGGGATACAGAAAAGTTTTTCCTCCCACTTTCATAAAACTAGAATCAAATCAAGCTGAATGTTGAAAGATGCAGGACAGATAAAATGAAGTACTTCAATAATAATTAAATTTTATTATTTGCTTTTTTTTGCCAACCCAAAGCAATTTACAATATTTTAAGCAAACACACACACACACACACACACACACACACACACACACACCAGCATAAAAAAATCTAAAAGACAATCTATTTAAACATGCCACCCATGCAAATTAAAACATGCCACCCATGCAAAAATGCCCAAGGGCTAACCAAAAAGTACTGTTTTTGCCTGGAATCCCAAGATATATAACAATGGTGCCAGGCGAGTCTCCCTGGGGAGGGCATTCCACAAGCAGGGAGCCACCACTGAAAAAGCCTGTTCTCATGTTGCCACCCTCATGACCACCCACAGTGGGAACATATGAAAATGGGCCTCCATTTACGATGGCAGGGTCCAGTTGGGTTCATATGGTGAGAGATGGTCCTAAAGGTAGTTTAATTGATTAACAGAACATAAATCAATGTATTAAATCCTATGCACTTGTTTGAGAGTAAGCCTGGTTGAACTCTATGGTACTTACTTTTCAGCAGGCATGCATAGGACCACACTATTATAAGTATTATTTATTAAAATTCTATACCACCCTTCATCCAAGGATCACAGGGCAATTTGCAATATAAAATCTATCTTACTGACTTAAAAGGCTGTTGCATAGTATTTCCTGTGGCAAAGTCTCACTGAGGATCCAGAGGGCAGTACACCAAGACAGAAGGAGCAATACAACTGCTGTCTCTAACCAAGGGCCAGAGGGAAAAGAGAAACCCTTGACAGCCTGTAACTTTGATTTCCCTGTTGTTGTTGAGCAGCTGCATCAGGGACAAATATAAAAATAGCTACCATCGACATCATCACACCCCACCTTTCACTTCTCACTGGAAGAAGTCTCTGACATACCACTATTATATGTGGATAATTTGCATTATTTCCCCTATATAAAAAAGGAGGTGAGAAGATCCAAGTAATTTTAGCTCAATTAATTTCTTGGATGTTGGATCTAATCATATTCCATAAATTTATTAAACAAATTAGAAGACTGAGTTATCAAAGGTCTCAGAAATTACGTATGCCATATTTTGTTGATTAAAAGGCAGCCTTAAATTCAAATTATGGCTGAACTGAGCCCCCATCTGCAATATACATTTAAAGCAACATCATACAATTTTAATAGTCCCAAATAATTATGGGAAGTGTAGTTAGTAAATGGTAGTTGAGAGCTGTAAGGAGACCCCTATTCCTCTCACACAGTTACAATTTCCAGAGTTCCGCGGGAAGAGGGATTGACTGTTGAACTGCTCTGAGAACTGGAGTTTTGTGAGGGGCACAGGGGACTCCTAACAACCCTCAGCACACTTAACAAACTACAGTTCCCAGGATTCTTTGGGGGATGCAATGGCTGTTTAATGCGGTATGATACTTATTTAAATGTGCAGTGCAGGTGGGTCTCACACTACGAAGCCTTCAGAAGTAATTCTGCAGTGGCCAGAAGATCAAGATCTCTGAGCATAATTTTAGACTGATATTTTGAAATTTATTTATTTGGAGGAAAATATAGACTTCTTAATCAAAAGCACCTGTCTCAAGTGGGATATACGATGCTCAATAAAATACAGATAAAATAAAGAAAAACTATTGTAAAAGTATGCCTAAAATAATCTTAGATATGCAGGTATAACATGGCATGGTATGAGGAAGATAATCTGACATAAAACAGAAGACATGTCTTGCTGCAGGATCAGGCCAAAGACTTATCTAGTCCAGCAATCTTTTTCGACAAATGCTGAAGATGTAACTCTTTACCCTGGATGTTGACACTTCTGGTGTATATTTTTAGGGCTCATCTTATTTTTGGTTATTCTAAGTTGTTTTAAACTATCTAATGTTGTGTTTTAATGGTTGTAGCCCACCCTAGAACCTTACGGTGAAGAGCAGGTAATAAATTGCAATAATACGAAGGAGGAGGAGGGAGATTTGGTGTGAGCAAGCAAGCTTTGAGTTGAAGGGTGATTGACTGAAATGTGAAGATTGCTTTTACTCAATGGAGGATTCCCACACAATGTAGAACCTGATTTCCCAAGGTTCTGCATCATATAAGGAGCTTCTATGAGTACAGAATCCCACTGCTTCAGAATGTTGCTCTTGAAATCATGGAGAGCAATGAGGATGCAGCTAGCAAGCTCATATTGCTTCTTCACAATGACTGTGCTGTATTTCTGAATTTGGACAATGCCTGCATAGGGGTTTTGTATGCAAATAATATTACAATGAAATTACAAGAAATTCATTGTTTCTGTCCTAGGCTGCAAATTATATGACTGCTGTAGTGTTACTCCATAAATCATAGGATTACATGAAGCTGCCATATGCTGAGTCAGATTACTGTCTACACTGACTGGCAGCAACTCTCCAGGGTTTCAGACAGGAGTCTGTCCCTGCTGTCCCTGGAGATGCCGAGGATTGACCCAGTGACCTTATGCAGAACCAGGGAACAAGGCAGAGGGCCTTCTCGGTAGTGGCACCCGCCCTGCGGAACACCCTCCCACCAGATGTCAAAGAGAAAAACAACTACAGTGGTACCTCAGGTTAAGTACTTAATTCGTTCCGGAGGTCTGTTATTAACCTGGAACTGTTCTTAACCTGAAGCACCACTTTAGCTAATGGGGCCTCCTGCTGCCACCGCGCCGCTGGAGCCCGATTTCTGTTCTTATCCTGAAGCAAAGTTCTTAACCTGAAGCACTATTTCTGAGTTAGCGGAGTCTGTAACCTGAAGCGTATGTAACCCGAGGTACCACTGTACCAGACTTTTAGAAGACATCTGAAGGCACCCTTGTTTAGGGAAGCTTTTAATGTTTAATAGGTTTTTGTATTTTAATATTCTGTTGGAAGCCGCCCAGAAACCCAGCCAGATGGGCGGGGTATAAATAAATAAATAAATAAATAAATAAATA